TCCCAGGATTGTTGTCTCATTACAACAATCTGTAACCCACTAATCCTTCTTTGCCCTATGACTGCAGAGTTGTTAAGTGCCCACTTTATCGTGAATGGTCTCTTGCAACATGTGTTAACTCCTTATGCTTAAAAATCTGTTCCACTTTGTATTTCACTGTGACACTCTCAGTGCTTTTACCAGAACCGAAGAAGAGCTCTGTGTAGCTTGAAAGCTTGTCTTTCACCAACAGAATTTGGTCCAATAAAAGGTATTACCTGACCCACCTTGTCTCTCATTTATTTACATTAAAATATACATAAAACATTGCTCCCCTCTGGCTACCTTTTCAATGATTGTAGCTCACCATATCCCAGAGTATGTCCACCCTGCAAAAAAAAAAAAAGTGTATTCTTAACTTGGGTTAGCTAACTTGGGTTAAAGCAGCAGAGAAGACACTGCAACTGGGATTTTAACTCTGGTTGGCACAACCGGTTCAACTCCAGGCTCTCCGATAGGTTTGAACTCCAGCTGCTAACTTGAATTGAAAGCCAAGCTGCCATGGTCTTCACTGCTCTTTCAACCTGAGTTTGCTAATGTGAGGTAGTTAACCTGAGTTAAGAACCTATTTTTTTTGCAGTGTAGACATACCCTCTGAATTCCCACTTCCCAGTATGCTTTGCTATTGGGGAAGCAGTTGGAAATATTATGAAAGATTTTATGTCATTCATGGCTGTGCAGTGAGTTCTCATGATTAGAGCTGGTTGGAATTTTTCAATGAAACTTTTCCATTGGAAAATGCTGATTCATCAAAAACAAGACTTTTTGCGGAAACATATTGGTTTTGATTAAATTTTCATGAGGAAGATTTCTGAGGATGGAGTGTTTTGATCACGGAGAGAGCAAGAGTCCAGAATAACCAATAGTCCAGTGGTTAGGGCACTCACCATTACAGAATGAGAACAAACGTCAAAACATCGTCATTTTTTTGCGAAACAGAATTCTTGTTTTCTGGCCATCATGACTCACTAAGGTAAGCGTAGCACAACCAGAGTCCTGGACTTTCCTATATTTCCCTTCACTAATGCTGGTGCATTTCTCAATGCAGTCATTTTTCAGAATGTAAACGTGAGTAATAACATGTCAGAGTTTTAAATGGCTTTTGAGCCTTTTTGGCCTCATTTGGACAGGAATCTGTGTCTGAGAGCAGCCAGCGCACATGCACTGAGCATTACGCATTGCAGCTGTGTTTTACTGATTGAAAAAACATTTCTTTGTTCATTTTCTAAACTGGATCAAAGAATTGTTGTTTCCTGTCTCCTATTACTTTTATTGTAACCTTTAGAATTTTTTGTGTCACACTCGGAGGAGGAGAGTGATTCCAATGAAAGATTAATCCTGGGGAGCATATACAGAAAGCCTATGTTTAGGGTAGATTGTTGAACCAACACATTCTATTGGCATCTACTGATCAATAGGCAGCTTATACTGAGCTGTAGGGCCTATGCTACAGATTCACACATAGTGGGCCTGCTTATCTACTGCTTTGCACCTTCTGTACTCATTTAAAGTTGTGCCGAGTGCATTGTGATTGGGTAGCATTCCACACAGATATCAAGATTTTACAAGGCATGGGCACTAGAAAGAATCCTGTCCAGTAACTTCTGCATTATAGTGTATGATGTGAAGGGTTAAGAGCACTCCTTTGGATACAGTTTCATAATGTAACTGGCCATTGCCTTTCGTCTAAGATGCTTACGTATAATACATTCGTTTATATCTTATGCTTATACAGGCACTCAGATAAAATGAATTAGGACTTTCTTATAAAGTGCTCATGTCATCTGAGGATCTAAAAGCACTTAACAATCATTATCTGAACCTCAGAACATTTCTATCAAGTTGGTAAACTGAGACATAAGTTAACCTCTTTGTCTCTGCTTATCTATTTGTTTAAGTTACTTGTCCAAAGTTTACAGAATTCAAGTAGCAGAACTGAGAAAAGATCCCAGAAGTCTCAGACCGATACCCGAATCATTAGAAATGATATTCCTTCCTAATAAAGGTCTTGTGAAGCTTTTATGATCTTCCATATAACATTATTGCTACAGTATAACAAAATGATGGATAATACTATGTTCTTTATTAAGATCCTCTTCAAAATCCACTTGTGACACGTTGATCACTTATTCTATACCAGTAAAACAAAGTTTCCTGCATACACACATCATTTCAAACACAGTTTTTAGCCTACTTAGATTTCCATACACATATAGCTATGTGTCAATGTACAGTAATGGTTGAGAACTTAAATGAGAAATAATAATACTTAACACTTTTATATAGTGACTTACAAACATTAACTAATGAATATTAACCACTTCCCAATGAGAGAATAAACAAATGTCATCCTTATTTTACAGCTGTGGAAGCAGAAAGAGAGAGGTTATGTTATTGGCCCCAAACCACACAAGGAGAGAGTGGTGTATAGACAGGAAGGGTAGCCCAGTGGCTAGTGTGATAGCCTGGGTCTTGGAAGACCCAGAGTGAATTTGCTGCTCTTGCTACAGATTTCCTGAGTGACCTTAGACAAGTAATGTAGGCCCAGATTTTAAAGATCTTTAGGTGTTGTTCTGCCCAGCATTGAAGTAATTTAGATGGCTAAGATACTCAGGCCTTGCAATGCTGAGCAGAACAACACCTAAATAACTATAAAAAGTGAGTCTTGACCTCTTTGTGCCTCAGTTCTCCATCTGTAAAATGGGATGACAGAGAAGTACTATCTCACAAGAAGGTTGGGAGAATACATACATGAAAGTTTGTGAGGTGCTCAAATACTGTGGTAACAGAGGCTATATAAGAGCTGAAACAGATAGTGTAAGAGCCTAGAATAGAGCTCCCAGTCCTGTGCCCATTATGTACTGTTCATGGCTTTTATTTATATGACCAATAGTAAAACTGTGTTGATCCTGCCCACATTTTTCTCCATGAACTTGGTGGACAACAAACATAAGCTTATTGAGATGATAATAGGGCTCTGCAGTTATTATGGGCAAAAGTCTGCCTTCACTTTCTCTAAGCAACCCCACTAAAGCTGCTTTGACATGATAGACTGTAATGGTTTTCAAAGGCTTATGGCAGAAAGTTGTGTGGTCTTTAGTGACGTCAGTGAGGATGTTAAAAAACCCAGAAATATTTTTTTTTCTTATCATTAAAGATGGCCAAAATGGTTCAAGTTTTGGGCAAAGGTTCAGGGAGGTTCTTATTTTATCAGAAACAAACCCAATCCCAAAGAGTTCTTAAGGTTCAAAAAAGGGTAGCTTTTTTCCTGTTTTAAAAATAATAATTTTCTCCACATCTGCATAAATTATTCCTCATCTTACTTCTCTGGAAATTCTTCCTCTCACAAACCTGCCATGCTGCTTCTCCTTTTATCTAGGAAGGTAATCAGAGAAGAAAACTTTCTATTTTGATGTCAGGCTTCAGTATTCTTTCATTTAGAGCTAGTCCAAACTTGGTATATCCATCCCATGGGAAATTTTGACATTTCAGTATTTCCTGTGAAATGAAACTTTCAAGAACAATTTGTTTTCAGTCAGTCAAAAAGTTCTATTTTGATAAAACTGAAACATTTCAGTCTGATTTTGACTTTTTTATTATATTATGGTTTCTAATATAATATCAAACAAAATAAATTTGTAAACAATAAGCTAAGAAACAAAAAATTGAAAATATTCCATTGCACCATTCTTGAAACAGTTTAAATTTTTTTAAAATGAAATTTTGTCAGAGTTGACATATTCCCACAGCACGTTTTACGTTTGTTAAAAAAAAAAAAAAAAGGCATATTCTGAGGGAAAAGCTTTCCATCAGAAAATTTTAAACCTGCTCTGCTTTCATTGTAATTTAGGGCCACTCTACTTATGCTTCTCATAATATGCATCTTGGCTCCCAGCAGCACTGGAGTGAATCCACTGTATGAGTAAATAACACTTGCTACTGCATAAGGGCTTGAGCCTGCAAGCTGTTGAGCACTTACTGAAAAAGGCTGAGTGTCATCAATTGACTTCAGCTGTACTCTAATGTCCAGAGCCCAGTTCTGCAAAGCGCTGAGCACTCTCATCTCCAGTGTTAGCACAATTCAGCAGCTGCTAACACAATCACTCTGTGCAGCTCCAGACTCATTTTGCAGTGTGGCTGCTTTCACTTGAGCTAGGCTTACTCATGAGGAGTTAACTCGTGTAGCTAAGTTAACTCTACAGTGCAGATATAGCCTATATTACATGATAAAGAATGTGCTCATGCATTCCTTAATCATTCAGATCTTCCACTAGCATCAGTTTGATTTCAAAGGCAGTTATTGTATGTTTTTTTCCATTATACTTCTGTTTTTCTTTTTTTTATGAGTATACCCCACGTATGTCTAATCTGTATTCTCGTGTATTAATTATACAGCATCACAGATGTGAATTACTCTTTACAGACAGGTATAAAATACAGGTCTTTGCTCCTGAACAGCTTACATTCTACATTGTCAACTACAGTCATTCACCCAAATTGTGCTCTCAGTTACACCTGTGCAACCCTTGTTGTTGGGGGTTACACAGATGTAAAAGACTAGAAATTGTCCCACTCTAGGGAATATAGGATTCCACTCCATTCCATTCCACCCCACCAAAGTCCGAGCAATCCCCAAAAGGTATAACCTGGCAATCACGTAAACAGCAATTTTTGGATTGGAGCATTTGGAACACCTTATTGACCAAAGGGGGAAAATAATGTGGACACTAAATATCAATTTAAATTGAAAGGGAGGAGGTATAGCTCAGTGGTTTGAGCATTGGCCTGCTAAAGCCAGGGTTGTGAGTTCAATCCTTGAGGGGTCCATTTAGGGATCTGGGGCAAACATCTGTCTGAGGATTGGTCCTGCCTTGAGCAGGGGGTTGGACTAGATAACCTCCTGAGGTCTCGTCTAACCCTGATATTCTATGATTGGATGGTCTTATAGGATCATTATTCACTATAGTCTCATTCAAAAATGTTCCTTATATTAAAAATGTATTCTTTCAAATGTATGGGTACTGTGGTTAGCTTCATAATACTGACAATAGCTGTTATAAGATGGCTTTACTTAGAGAACTATATTCTGATATCAGACACTTATCTTCATTAGCAATATAAATATTTAAAATGATAGTGTGTCAAATATACTTCAGCCATGAATATATAAATATATCATGAAATGTGATTCAGTCATAAAAAATGTTGTCCATTAGCTGGTATAAGTAGGTGCCTATCATGGAGTTTTGTATTGAGATCGGCTCCCCAAGTTTTCATGCATAATGAATGCAGCCAGTGCACACAATGGGGTGCCATAATCAATGGATATTAAGGACAGTTTACGCACTGATATGTTGAAAGGTTTTCTTGTAACTTTGCAATAAGCAAAACAGTGCTATCGTGCTAATGAAGAAGCAGACTTTTTCTTTGGGCATTCAATGGAAATGGACGTTCTCAGAGTATCCAAAGAATTCTCCATCTGGATGGACTCTGATTTGTTGCATATCCTAGGCAGGCAGCATTTGTAGAGTTCCCTGGATTTCTTTCTGAAATGCTTGCCTACAATGACATACAATACTGGGTTAAGGCAGCTGTTGCTATAAGCACAGTATGTAGCTACCTGGGTCACCAGTTCACTGACATCTTTAGTAATGCAGTCAGAAATGATGCCTGCCTGAATTAGTATGTCAATGAATGTGGTGATCTGGAAAGGAAGCCAGCAAATGATAAACAGCAAAAGGACAGCAAGGACCAAGATGGTGGCTCTCTTCTCAGTCTGGATTTCTGTGAGTCTTTGTATTTTGTTGTCTCGTAAGGCTTTGATTATTTGAATAGTACAATAGGTAATTACACAGAGTGGGATCAAAAAGCCCACAGTATTCAGCAAAATGTGTGTTGCAATTGTCCAGTGTGTGGATGGATACTGAAGAATGCAGGCTCTGCCCTTGACTTCTTCCACATAACTGATAGACCTGAACACTAGAACAGGAGAACATACGAGCAATGCAGACACCCAGATGATAAGGCAGTTCCATTTGGCACATGTACTTCGTCGCATACGTCCAAGAGACATGGTTTTCACCAGGGCCAGGTAGCGATCGATGCTCACCATCATCAAAAAATAAATGCTAGAATATAAGTTCATGTAAACGATTGCATTGACAACCTTGCAAAGGAAAGTGCCAAAAGGCCACTTAAACTGATTAGCGATATTAATGGCCCAGAAAGGTAAACCGCAAACTAACATCAAGTCGGCAACTGCCAGGTTTGCCAGGTAAATTTCAGCCACCGTGCAGCGACTCTTGTGGAAACACAAAACGCTGAGGACAAAGCCGTTCTCTATCACTCCCAGGACAAAAATGACCCAGAGGAACATAGGCTGAAATGTATATAACCAATCCCAGGCATCCAAAATAATGCAGGTAGAGTTGCTGTTGTTTTCTGATGTGTTGTGTGAAAAAGACTGATTGATTCCAAGCTTCCAGGTAGTCATACCACTGGAAATATTTTCTGCTGTGATGGAATCCATTTCTCTGCTGGAAAATAAAATGTGAAATAAGATAATTGTATACTGCACATCATTGCTAAAGACATGATAAATAAAGTAAAATCGACTGTTTATACTCCCTAGGAGCATGTCTTTTAACAGAATACGGACTGACAATTAATTGTATATAGCATGTGGTTTACCCTCTTACAGATACTGCATATCTGCAGAGGCTTTGAGACAGTAACCACAGGAGCATCCCAGGTGGACCTCGTTCAAGTGACTGAAAACAGAAGAGATGAAACAGCGGCAGATGTGTTGGGGGCTGTGGTTTGGGATGACCGAGGCTGGGACAAAATGTTTTTATGGATCATTAATTCTAGCAATATAAACTAGAGCATTTTTGATACCTTGAGGAGGCTGTTAGTTTTCTTCATGGTTTATCTTTTTGTAGTGTTAAGTATAGTCTCCTATAGGACAGACTGGTATTCTCTCTCTCTTGATAGTTTTATGGTGTGCAGGTGTTGTGCTTGTGGCATCTCACTTGTTATTTTATACCCTTCCTTGAAAAGTGGTGATTTGGTTTCTACAGGACATGATGATCCTCTCCCCTTCTTTCTTTAATGGTTTTTAGACTACAGTGTTGGAATGAATATTGTCAGCAGCTAAGCACATTTTCAAAAGCAACCACTTAATGTGCAACTGCGATTTTGGACAGGTAAATTTGTGAGTGCAAAACCTGCATCTGCCAGCAAATTGGGTTGCTTGCCTTCTAATGGCTGGATTCACATGCCTATTTTTTTGCATCTATAATACCCTGCCTGATCCACAGAGTGTATGAATGTTACAGCCCCAGCAAGAGAGTCCTGCTTTTAGTCTGAAGGACCCTGTTTCAGTTCCTGGTCTGATGGCCAAGATGGTATCTGTCACATAAGTTCGGGCCCGCCCAGGATTTCTGTGGGACAATTTTGATGCCACGTGACAACCTCTTTGAGAATGTGGCCCTGTGTTGTTAATATTGCACAGCTTGGAATGCCTTCATGTTTCAGGGGAAGCACTTCAGAGGCACTAATGTCAGTTAGGTGCCTAAATTCTGATGAGTTCAATTGGAAGTTGGGTGTCTAGCTGCCACTCTGGGCCTTTGAAAATCTGCCCCTTGCTTGTTACTATTATATTCATAGGTTCCAAGGCTAGCAGGGACCATTGTGATCATCTTGTCTGACATCCTGCATAACACAGGCCATAGAATTTCCCCAAATTCTTTTAGACAAACATCCTATCGAGATTTAAAAATGGTCAGTGATGAATAATCCACCACTACCCTTGATAAATTGTTCCAATAGTTAATTACCCTCACTGTGAAAAACGTATGCCTTATTTCCATTCTGAATTTGCCTAGCTTCCAACATCCAGCCATTGGATCATGTTATACCTTTCTCTGCCAGACTGAAGAGCCCAATGTCCAATATTTGTTCCCCACATAGGTTATAGACTGCAATCAAGTCACCCCTTAGTCTTCTCTTTGTTAAGCTAAATAGAGTGAGCTCCTTGACTCTATCACTATAAGGCATCTTTTCTAATCTTTTAATCATTCTTATGGCTCTTGTTTGAACCCTCTCCATATTTTCAACATGCTCTGGAATAGTGGACACCAGAGCTGGACACAATTTTCCAGCAGCGGTTGCACCAGTGCCAAATACAGATGTAAAATAACAGGAGTACTTGTGGCACCTTAGAGACTAACAAATTTATTAGAGCATAAGCTTTCGTGGGCTACAACCCACTTCTTCGGATGCATATCCGAAGAAGTGGATTGTAGCCCACGAAAGCTTATGCTCTAATAAATTTGTTAGTCTCTAAGGTGCCACAAGTACTCCTGTTCTTTTTGCGGATACAGACTAACACGGCTGCTACTCTGAAAGATGTAAAATAACCTCTTTACTCTTACTAAAGATTCCCCTGTTTATGCAGCCAAGAGCATACTGTGATATTTTTAAACTGTAAGTATGGCCTTCCTGGGTTTGAGTGTAGCTGTCAAGACTGAGTGACAGGTATGGAACTTGCCTTATGCCAAGTCTTTAAAATGCCATAACTTTTATTATAGTTTTATTGGCAGCTGTTTCAAAGGTATTTGTAATCAGGGCAGTTGCCTGATACAGCTGGTAACTTGACAGCAAAAGGACAACTATAGATCTCATTGAAGGGCTCAACTGTCTGCAAATATAAGCTATGCTCCAGTTACTGCCTTTGCTAGCTGACAGCTGGAAATGTACATAAAACATACTTGCTGGAAGCAGGATCACTACAAAACTGACATTAATTTATTATTACTGTAGTATCTTAGAACCCTCGTCAAGATCAGGATTCTTTTGTGCAAGTTGCTGTAAAGGCAGGTAACAAAGAAGATAGTCTCTGCCCCAGAGAGTTTATAATATAGTTGTCAGATGGGGCGGGGCAGGACAGGGGAATGAAACAGACAGAGGGAGCTGGGAAGATGAGGTCACTTTAAAAGGAACAGAGTTTAGCAGACAAGTAGATATCATGGTCATTTAGGGTGACCAGACAGCAAATGTAAAAAATAGGGACCGGGGTGGGGAATAATAGGAGCCTATATAAGAAAAAGCCCCAAATATCAGGACTGTCCCTATAAAATTGGGACATCTGATCACCCTATGGTCATTTGTGTATCCACCCCCCATGAGCAAGATAAAGTTCAGTATCCATTAAGTTTTATGGTGAGTGCAGTGTTCTTAACTGTCCAGAATTCATGTTGTGCAAACTATAACACCTTCTCATACCCATATCTAAACTCAGGAGCATATCCCCATCCTCTGACATCATCACTGGCTCTCTGTCCTTCTCAGAACCCATTCAAACAACCTCCCTCATTGTCTTCAAATTCCTGCCTGCTTTTGGCCCCTTACTCATTTTACTATTGTCTGAAGAATTAGCGGCATGTCACAGTGAGTTACCCTGTGACCGAAGGTCTTGGGGACACCTTGATTTTTGGAGCTGTTTGGTACAATTAATTTGGATGTACTTACTATAATTTAAAACCAAACACACTCATACCAGGAGTTTTATGTGTAACATTGTACTTATTTTGATTGCAGCCTTTCCCCCCCCGCCCCGCCCCCACCCTTAGTTTGTTGCTCATTGTCTTATATTGTAAAAGCTGTTTGGTGCCAGGATCGTGTCTTTGTGTGAACTCCCTTTATGCAGTACAGGTATAATGTTAAGGCTCCAGGATCGTGACATCCACCATTCTAAGCAAAATCATCACTGCAAACTCCTCTATACCAGCAAAAGGGCTCCCACCAGACTTCTCTCTCCTGCTCTATTCAGCGCCCTCCCGCAAAATGCTGAAGTCACTGAGCAAAAGTCCAGTGTTGGCAGTGGCAATTTCTCACCTAGTTGCATACGACACCTGTATCAGGACACCAGTGCTAATAAGCTAAATATCTGAGAGCACTGAGGATGTGGTACTCCATTTAATGTTTTGCAAATAACTTTGCTTTACTCCCTCTTCCTGTAGCACTTACAGATTTTATGCCATAAATGTACTCGGCAGACTGGTGGACGATTACCAATCAATTGGTCATTCCTGAACAGATGTCCCGTAGGATGCTGCAATTAAACAGAAGCTGTTTATCTTCATGTTAGTAACATAAAAGGTTCTGACTTGGTGAAGAGCATTATAAGAGTCCTTTATTTTGTGCTCTGTGGTTGGACATATGCATATATTTAAAAGGCATTCATTTGCGATTCAAAGAAAGTTCATAAAGGTTGTGACATTGCTTGGCAATTTCTTATTCCTTCTCCTCATAATTATGACTAGCAGAAGAAGACTACCCCACTGCAGAATGTTAATTTTACAGTGAATAGCAGCACAATAAGGAGAGAGTACATGTTTTAGGATATTTCTCCCTCACCTCATCTCTTTGGGATTACATTTTTAGAAGGGAAGCATTTACAAAGACAATTCTGTAAAATAAAGTAAATTATTGGCATTGTAGCCTATGCAATGATTGTGATTTTTATTTTCTGTGTACTGGACCCCTCATACTGATTGAGTTAGCTAGCTTCCATTTTGTGTTCAGTTGAGATATAGCCTGTTACAATGGAGATACTATGTGTGAAATCCTCTCCCACCTCAGAACCCTAATCCACAGGCTACTTTGAGGCAGGTTTCTTTCCTGCATGAAATACTCTGCCCCCCAATATATCAGGCAGAGTGGGGATTTGAACCCAGATCTTCTAGATTCTAACTGAGTGCTTTAGTTACTGGACCATAGGCACCATTTCCTCCATCAGCTATATTTTGTATAGGTCCTGATCAGGTAGGCATGTTCTTAGGCAGCCTCTAAGCACCCCTACCCAACAGGGCCCCAAAGGTGAGATATGTGGGGGAACATCTAGTTTGTGAATCCAGCTGCAGCTTAGATATGAGTTAGGTGTCAAGCTGCTCTTAGGTGGCTTTGTGCATGCCCAGTGACAGAAATTTAGGCACCATGGAGAATTTAGTGGTGGAAACTTAGGTGCCCAGAGACTTCAGGTACCTCCAGGGCTAGGTGGCAACTGAGTGGTGGTTTTGTGAATGCCAGTGGTGCCTAAATGTCAATTTTAGGCAACTAACGTGAAAGGTGCCTACATCCCCCTGTGAATCCAGTATTAGCTGATTCATCCAAAATTCTGCTAGAGATGCCCAGTCAGTCACCATTGAACTTTGCTGCAACAAGCTTGAAAGGAATGCAGTACACCTCCCTCAGTGACCAACCAGCTCTGTTAGCCTGTGTGCAGGGCCGGCTCCAGGCACCAGGCACCCAAGCTGGTGCTTGGGGCGGCACCTGGAGGGGGGCGGCGGCGCGGCGCTCCGGCCGCCGGGGAGAGCGGGGCCACAGCAGGGCTCACCGCCCTCCCCCCGGCCGGGGCTCGCCGCCCTGCGCTCTGGCCGCCGGGAGGGAGAGCCGAGCCCCAGCCAGGGCTTGCCGCCCTGCCCCCGGCGCTCTGGCCACCGGGGGGGAGAGCCGAGTCCCCGCTGGGGCTCGC